TTTCATTTTTTGGCGTGTTAGTAGTTTGTAAGTATGTTTGTGTGTGATTGTAAGCTATACTATAGTTCTTCCTCTATTACTGCCTGTAATACCAATATGATATCACTACATGTATACTCAAGATATTTTATACATTCTGTTTGTTATAAAACTTCTACTTCTGATGTCTGGAAATATTCACTCTAATCCAGGTCGCTCATCAATCAGTATTAATCAAAGAAACTACTATAATGATTTATCAATAATGCACTTAAATGTTAGGTCTCTTCGGAACAAGGTTGATCTTATAGATACTGAATTCACTGACTATGACATCCTATGTCTTACTGAAACTCACCTGAATAATGAAATAACTGAATCTGATTTGCAAATTAACTCACATCCCAACTCATATCGTAGAGACAGACAATCACAACACGGTGGTGGTATTATGATATATACTAAAAACAACCTCTTAATAAATCACAGAACTGATCTTGAAACTGAAGACATAGAACTTGTCATCCTAGAAATTAACACTTCTAACAAAAAAATACTTCTCTGCTGTCTTTATAGACCTCCTAATACAAAAGTAGATTACTGGAATAAACTTGATAACATTTTAGATAATCATTCTAATACTAATCTTAATATCATTATCACTGGTGACATAAATATTGACTTTATCACAATGAAACCTAATTCACATCTTGCAAGATTAATTACTAAATATCACTTAAAAAACTTAATACAATCACCAACACGCATTACAAACACTACTGCTACCTTAATTGATGTATTTATTACTAATAATGTAAACATTTTTACCTCAACAAATGTACTTTCCCCTCTCTGTAGTGATCACTGCCCCATCCTTGCTAACATTTGTTTTAAGACACTAAAAAATAAACCATTCAAGAAACCTATATATAAGTTCAATGAAGCTAATTGGGATGCTATTAATAATGAACTACTTAGTAATGATTGGGATTCCATAGTTAATAACACTACTAGCATTAATGAACTATATTCTACTATTATAAACAAAATAAACTCTGCTACTAACTCTCATATACCTCACAAAACAATTACTGTCCATCCTGATGATAAACCTTGGATGACTGGTGAAATTCGGCATAAATTAAGATATAAGAATAGATTACATAAAAGAGCTAAAAATAAAAATAGGGAACAAGATTGGGCAAAATTTAGAACTTGTCGCAATGACACTATACAAATTATTCGGCAATCCAAAGAAAATTACTTTAAGAAACTTCAAAATTGTCTTGCCGACAAAACAGTGCATCCAAGAAAATGGTGGCAGATAGCAAAATCTATAGGAAAAATGAATAACACTAGCACTAATTCTTATCCTCTAAAATCTAACAATAAAATATTAATCCATCCACAAGATAAAGCTGAGGCACTAAATAACTTCTTTACCACCATTGCCTCTGATATTACTGACACTAACCTACCTGATTTACCTCCCTTATGTCCATTTGAACTTTCTGACATTAACATTACTGAACAAGATATAACTGACCAATTTGACATTTTTAATAAAAACAAACCAGCTGGTCCTGATGGTATTTTACCTATGATTGTAAAGAACATTTCTGCTTCTTTAGTATACCCACTCAAACTATTATTTAATAGAACTTTATCTATTGGAGTAATACCTGATGTACTAAAAACGGCTAATGTTACTGCTCTCTATAAAGGTAAAGGAGATATCAGTGATCTCAATAATTATAGACCTATTGCTATTACATCTATTTTTATCAAAATGTTAGAAAAAAATATTTTTAAATATACGTTTAATTATATTTCAAGTCACAATATGTTAAGTGTACATCAGTCAGGATTTCAACCCAAAGACTCCACTACTAATCAACTAGCTGATATCTATAATACTATAAGTGGCAATTTAGACCAAGGTAAAGATTTGCGTTTTGTTTTCTGTGACATAAGTAAAGCATTTGATCGAGTATGGCATTTGGGCCTATTATATAAACTAAAAACATATGGTATTAAAGGTAAATTATATAATTGGTTTAAAGCTTACTTATCTGACAGAAAACAAAGGGTTATCTTTGAAGGTTATAAATCTAGTACCAAACCTATGTCTGCAGGGGTTCCTCAAGGATCTGTCCTTGGTCCCTTCCTCTTTCTTCTTTTTATTAATGATATTACTAATAATGTAACTTCTCATATAAAACTCTTTGCAGATGATACCTCTCTCTATGTAATAGTAAATAATAACAATGACCTTACAACACCTACTAACATGCTTAATGATGATCTTGACTCAATCTCTGAATGGTCAAAGCGATGGCAGATCCTATTCAATCCGAATAAGACTGTAGCTATTAACTTCTCTCGTAGACACATTAACAATCATCCTCAACTGCTATTTAACAATACTCCAATTGCACAACATGAACACCATACTCACTTAGGACTAACATTTAACAGTAAAGGGACATGGTCAGATCACATTTCAAATATTTATAAGAAAGCGAACTCTAGACTAAGTATTCTTAGAATTTTAAAAACTACAGTTGATAGGAATACATTAAAAACATTATATGTCTCTTATATAAGACCTGTGCTAGAATATTCTGATATAGTATGGGATAATTGTACCAAATCGGAATCAGATCTTTTAGAATCAGTTCAACTAGAAGCTATGCGTTTAATTACTGGCCTCAGACGAGGTACATCTCATCATATTCTGTATACTGAAACACAACTTGAAACATTACACACACGAAGACAAAATCATAAACTAACATTAATGTATAAGATTCTTAATAATTACACTCCAACTTATCTCGATAATATCATTCAACCATTTCTAAATGTAAATAATAACTATACCTTCAGAAATAACAGATTCTTTAATATACCACAGACAAGAACTACTACTTATATGAATAGCTTCTTCCCTTCTACAATGGTAAAATGGAATGCACTTGATAGCACTGTACGAGACTCCATCTCAATTTCATCTTTTAAAAAGAAACTTAAAAAAACCTTTGATACATCCGTCTCAGAAACTTTTATTAACTGTGTTCCGAGGAAACTTAACATAATTTTATGTCAGCTAAGAAATTTTAAAAGTGATCTTAACTGTGATAAGTTACAAGACCATCTGATTGATGATGCTTCCTGTGTATGTGGTGTACAGAGGGAAGATCTAATACATTTTTTCTTTCAATGTCCTCTGTATTCTAATATTAGGCATCATATTACCACTATTTATAATCTAGTAGGATATTTAAATCTGCACTGTTTAGTATATGGTATTAGTAATGCATCCAACCAATTAAATAAAACTATTCTTATACATGTTGACTCTTATATTAAATCATCAAAACGTTTCGTTACTTATACGTGCTAGATAAATTTCCAAATGAATATTCATGTATTGTTATTATTATTGTTATTCAGGCAAGTTTTATCCCTTAAATAACGAGTATTAGACATAAGCTGGTGTGGGTGTGGGTGTGCATGAGTGTGAGAGGAAACGAATCACAACATTTTATATATTTAAGCATTGTACATATCTACCGGAATTAGAAGAAGACTGATATAGGCAAAGCCTGTTGTCTTATTCTTTTGTCAATACTGTTCAAATATCTCCTTTAATGTTAACTTATATGTTTGCATTATATATGTATTGTCAATAAAATACTTTGAAATTGAAATTGAAAAACATATTTCATTGCACTTGTAAGCTCGCTATTCACCACATTTTGATGCTGTCTTTATAAATCCATGCAGGCTACATTTTACCTGTCAACCAGGTTATAATACATGTAACCTTAAAATCATGCCGAATGTTTGAATGAAAACCAAGCTCCAACCTACAATTATTTGAAATCCAGACAACTTTTTCCTTATAACAATTTACTACTGCCAACACTATTTTTTCACCTGCCAACCAGACTTCATTTTCCTAATGATTATAGGCTACCTGCGAACCAGGCTCAACTTTTCCAAATAACAAGGCCAGTGGCGTTTCTAGAATATTTGAAAGAGGTGGCGTAGAATCAAATCTTTTGCCGAGCGGAGCGAGACGAAAATAATTTTGGACCTTTTTTGCCAAAAAACATAAAATAATTGTGAAATGCACTAATGTAACGGTTCCTGACTTGGAGCATGTATATTTTATAGTTAAAGTGTCAGGGTGTTTAAAGTGTTTAATTAATGAATATGATAAATTGCCATATTCAAGCCAATATTAGCAGATTACGATAGGTTTTTTTGGGGGGGTTGAAAAGGGGGGGGGGGGGGGGGGCATACGCCCATTACGCCCTAAACTAGGCTAAACTAGAATTGTACGCTAAAGGTTAACTAAGGCAAAGCAATCCATAGTCTCCCACCAGTAATTCTTTATTTACTGAGCTGTACACTTATGTAAGTATATAGGTTACCAACATACTTCCTGTACTCCCTCCCCATGCCAAAACATACTTGCATACCAAATTCTTGCTAGCCCAGATGAACCCGCTTTGCTTAAATCGTCCTAGTAGTTTAAGGAAGAGTTGTCAGCAAGCAAAGATTTTCAGCAAAAGGCCATAACTCATTTTAAAAGGGTACGAATGAAAAAAAGTATTACTTGGATGCACAACGCAGGGGGCACTATAACCATATCTATATATAAACTTGCTTTGAAATCAGCCCGGTAGATTAGCAGAATTAAGTTGTCAGGACAAGGGTCTTTAAACAAAGGACCACTACTCTATCAAAAGGGTATGAAAAAAATGCCTGGATGCACAACATCAGGGGGTAGCTATCATATCTGAAAACTTTCATTGAAATCGGCCCCATAGTTTTGGAGGAATTGTCTGAACAAGGATTTTTCAACAAAGGGCAATAAATCTGTATATAGGTCAGAATGAAAAATATAATAGCTGGATGCACAACATCAGGTGGTAGTTATCATATCTGAAAACAATCGTTGAAAGTGGCACCGTAGTACTAGTTTTGGTATGAATTGTCTGGGCAAGGATTTTTCAACAAAAGGCAATAACTCCGTAAAAAAGGTCAGAATGGAAAAATAATACCTGGATGCACAACTTCAGGTGGTAGTTATCATATTTGGAAACTTTCTTTGAAATCAGTCCTTAGCTTTAAACGGAATGTCTGGACAAAAAGTGTCAGGATTTTTTCAACAAAGGGCAATAACTTCGTTAAAAAGTGTAAGGAAAAAATAACACCTGGATGCACAACTTCAGAAGGAGTCAAGCTTTTTCTACAGGCAGACAAGCTGATGCCAGTATACTAGGCTACATTTTACCTGTCAACCAGGCTTCCTCTCAATCGAGCTACCTTTTACCCGAGATCCAGTCCAGGCTACCTTTTACTGGACATCTGCAAACTTATTGGACCCTACTTTTTCGAATTACGAATACTTGCCAAATGAGGCACAAAGTCCCAACACACCTACCAGTACTTTTCATTAGCCTTTTAAAGATAAACCCCAATATCCCCAATGGCAAATAAATCCTTTTAACTAATCATAAAAAAAAATCAACCCAGGATGATAATAATACTGTTTATTTACATAGTAGAAACATGCATTATTTATCAAAATCAACATGTCTTGCTTTACACTCACTCATCCATTTCCATTCTCGTACATAAAACACTGCTGATTGGAGCATCTCATTATCATTTATACCAATGCCGTATAACAGGTTATTTACGCAGGCTTACATTTTCACGATATTGATCTTGTAATACTCCCGATGTAAATGAATCATTACAACCACATGATCATTATTTCATGACGACATTACCATTTAATATGAAGTTTATTATTGCAGCTCATTTTTTATGCTTGTCATATTATTATGTTGATCATATTTTTGCAATCACTATATTAACCCATAAATCACAAAAATATCACAATCACTATCATTCCCGCGGAAATATCCTGCTATATGGTATATATCAGTCACACTTTGTTACTTACATACAGACACACAGCACTGGCAATATTGGATATCATCTGAAATGTGTTATATATTTTATATTAAGGTGTCAGAAGTTTAAGTGAAGAATAGCAATGTTTACAAACTCTGCACCTAGGACATTTCCATGTTGGAATGTTAAATGTCTGTGAAGCAAAACTCAATTTTATTAAGGACATATGCTACCTAACTATGAAATGTATTTCCTTTCTAAAAAGAACTCCACAAATAAGAATCTTGATGTTCACTCATAAATGGTAAAATGGACCTACTTATAACATATGAGATACAAAGGAATGTATTGATAATTAATGCATTTTTAAATTACCCTGACATGCTTACCTAATAGCAAATTTTAAGTGAGATCTTAAGAATGTGTAAGGAAGCATGTATTCTCTATCAAGTTAAATGTAACTATACAGACAAGTATCAAATAATGACAAATATGGTACAAAATTCTTCTTCTGATGTATATTTAATCTTTCAATATGTACGTGTATCTATTTCATGATTACTAAATCATGTTGTCTTCAACTTTCTTAAATTTCAAATTGAATGTGAATTTATCAGCTACAAATATAAAATCCCTCAGCTCAAATACAACTGTCAAATATGGTGATACTTGTCACATGATGTTTGAGTGGAAATAAACAGCTTCAAGCAAAAAACTTGAAACACCACAAGTGAAATTAGAAGAATAAAGTACAAATCTGGGTTTTAATAATATGTTTTCATTCCAAAACTAAAAAAAATAAATTGCCTTTGAGTAACCCACTGTTTTTTAACTTAGACATCAGTAAAGCTACCAAATGGGAATTGGCTTCCAAGATCTTGACATTATTCACCAACAAGTACTGTAGTAAACATGCTTTACTGTGTGTATAGATATATATATAAGTTCTGAGCAGCTCCCTAGTGCTTTCCCTTCCTTAGAGGTTCATACAGCACTAAGGAGCTCCGAGTATTGTTTTTTTCTTTCCATTACTATTACAACAAATCTTGAGGTGTTTGCTTATATCTGCCTATGTTTCTCACATGACAACTCTATTATGCAACGAATACAACCAAGTCATATTTTAAGCGTATTACTTTGGTTAATAACACTAATCACTGCGACATCCAAATTAAGACGACGACAACAGAGAGGACATGATGACATTGTGATGTTTAATTGAAGATATTAGACATTATGTCAAAATGGTTATATACGGGATGATGGCCAGAAAATACAGTACACATGGAACTTTTACCACAGTCCAGTTTTCATCTTTTTAACTCTCCATAATTTTGGTTAATTTATCATTACAACATACTACATATAGTAATTCTATGTGAAGGCCAAGCTAACACTGCATAAGTATGCATCTACCAGTTAAGGGCAACAGTTCGACCAAGCAAAAGTTTCCAGGCATACAGCAAGTACTTGCATACAAAGTAATTTGCGATAAAATTTCATCCTTAATGTGTGTTCTATTTCACGAGATTTATGAATCTCACCGACCAGTTTTCTTAAATTTCACATGAAATGTAAACTGATTTAATAGCCTGTTTATATAAAAACATGTACCAACTGTAATATTCATGACATTACACATCAACATACTCTCTGAGAGGTTAAGGTGAGACAAAGAAATAAAAACAGCATTACACTTTATAAAAGATCACACATTTCAACAGTCACACCTACACATCATACATTTTTTATACTTTGATTTCAATCTTCAGGACATACAAATAAATAATGTGATTTTTACAATTTCAATCAAATATTCAACTCACTTCAAAATTACACACACAATCTTGTTCGAAATATATAAACAAGAAACAGTATTCTTACAAATATACCCAGAGTATTGTAAACCAAAAGATTACTATATTTAACAAAGACTTTTGTTTTTAAATGCACATGGTCATTCTCTCACGCTCATTATTAAAATCCATAAAAGTGTTGAAATAATTTGATTTTTTAATTTTCCAAAGAAAATGTTAATCCTTGCATTCAAATTTATTAATCATTTGCCTCATATAGACAGCTTTTCACACCTCTCCTGTTGTATTTTGCATACTTCTATACGGAATCCATGTATTAAAGCAAAATTTCAATGCCTTTGTAATCTCCATATGGTTTTGCTAATTGATCTTTCATTTTCAAATGCAAAGTAAAAAAGTATAGGTTTATTCAAACAAAAATCTAATCTAATACTGTGCCAGATATTTACCAAATACACTGAGTGTTACTATTTCTCACAGTATTAAGGGACTCTTGACTGCATTGATAATGAAAGAATCCTAGCTGTGAGTTGATGCTCACATGCTCCATACAGGTCTTCAGAGAAAAACTTTCGTTACACAATTTGCCTAGTTCGACATTTCTGTGTGTTAGGTGACTGGAGATAGAATTCCTGAGTAGCCAAGGTCAGAGGTCAATAAATTATCACATGATATACAACACCTCCTCTCACCCGTCATGTCTGCGATGTCTGTGCTACCTTCACCTTCTCTACGATGGTAAGACGGGAGTCTCATCTAATACTTAAGGAGGGTAAATATTATCATTTAATCTCCAATATGAGAATAAACGCGTGGGGTTCAAATGATCACAAAAGTGCTTTGAGAGAACTAGGGTCTGTTATGACGTTACAGGATTTTGATTGTCTTTGATCCAAGGATGTTCTAAAACTTTGTCCAGAGATAACCGTTGGTTTGGGTCATGTTTCAGCAGCTGAAATCATAATGGTCAAACATAACAATCACATGTATTGGGAATATATTAAAACATACATGCGACTCATATGTATTGATAAATAGATATATTGTATGATATACAAATATAAGTTTACTTAATGGAAAAAAAGGATGAAAAATTAGTACCAGAATTCCAATTATTATGAATAACACACATGATGTTTAATATTTTAATTATGATTAAAAGGCCACACAACATCCAAGTCTAAGATCTCACATTTTTAATAAGATTTCTAGCAGGCTCCGACACATATACTGGGAACTGAAGATCCACTTTTGTTATCCGTCTGTACGTGTCTGTATTGGTCTCCGCCTCAAACGGAGGCTTTCCCACCAGGAACTCGTAACATAGCACGCCAAGACTCCAAAGATCCACCTTCTCGTCGTGAAGTTTGCCCTCAATCATTTCTGGAGGTAGGTAATCTAAGGTACCACACAATGTGGTTCTCCTGTAAATCAGACATTGTATGTAAAACATGCTATGACGTACACGAGATCTGGCCAGGAATCTAGATACATGTATTGTCAAAATTTGAAAGTTAATTTGTTGAGCAGATTTGATCACTCTTGTAGGCTCAGTTCGAAAGGATCTCAATAAGGTAGGAACAATCCACAGTTAAAGACCTCTCATTGGAAAGGTCTTAAGTACTCCCAACCCTTAATGAACTGCCATAAAATGTCTACATGTTTAACTATCAAAGTGTCTCACTATGTATTGGACTTTCTTAACTTTGTTTTTTATGTTGGTACCCTGAAGGTTTAATTCATTGTAAGTACATGTCAACTAGGCGTTATCCATGTTATAACAGGCACGTCAGCACTTCTGAAAGGTATGAGGAGGGTGCACAGTGAGGGACTGGGTAAACCCTAGTGAGCCACATCTTACAGTATTCTTACTTTGTATTGTTTTTAAAGTTTCCAGAATTCAGATTTTTTTTTAGATAACTTTGAGGATGGAAAACATGCTCTAGTGCTTTAATATGCTTATCCATTGTCTTATTCTTATAACAGTACTGATGATGGCTAAATTTAGTATATTTATAATGCTAAAATATAGTGTCAGATGGGTAAAAGTCGGTATATTTAGTTTTATTCAGCCTTATTTTGCGCTTTCCATATTATATAGGAGAAGTTTCAAAAAATACTATGCATTACTGCACTACGGGTATTAACACAATTCAAATGCAACTAACTTTTCCCAGTTTCATATTTACGTCGTTCAATTAAAACTCATTTTTAAAAAGGATTGTTAATTTATACCAATACATGGGTGTGAGACTGACCAGTTTTTTCCATATCTGAATGAAGGTAAATGGCCTTTGACCGACCCCTGGAGGTTGTCACTTACCTGAAAGAGTGTACATAGACTGACTGTTGGAAATTTTTACTTACCTGGATGAGGGTGCATGAACTGACCATCCAAAATCAGCAATTTTGAGGTCACCTGTGTGTCCAAGGAGGAGGTTCTCAGGTTTGATATCCCTGTGAATGACCTTTTTACCGTGACAATACCTCAGGGCACTGGCCAACTGGTTTATATACTGTAAGTACACAAAGCTGGTGAGATAACACACACACAAATCAATCCTCATGTGTACAAGGTTATTAACCTTAAAACATATAGAATATACTTCCAAAACACGCTTTTATATCAGAGTTTACATTATACAAGAAGCTAAACCTTTTAAAGTCCCCCCTTTTTTCCCCCCACACATTTGAAATTTGTTATTCCCCAGTCTTTGTTTGTCTGGAGCTTTAAGTCTTCACAACAAAGATGATATGATGACACATTCAGTCCTATGACAGAATTTCCCTCTGATTTTTGGTCCACTACAGTTAATGTCACAATCTGGTCGGACCTCAACTATTTTTTTTAAATACATATGCTGTATTTATTTAACTTCAAAATTTTTGGTTTATACAATAGGCTTTATATAGCACTCATCACCTAACATTCTGTCCATAAATAATACAAACAAAAATGTAGACACATGCTTACAGTGACGGTTCTCTTCTCATCAAATCTTTTGTCCTTCATCAGCTCCTTGTAGAGCTCTCCCTTCGGTGCATACTCCAGTATGAGGTAGACTCGGGATTTGTCATGGAAATATCCAAACAATCGTAGGATGTTGGGATGTCTACAACATCGGAAATTATTTCACACTTTATGCTAAGCTACATTCTTAATACGGGGTAACCCTCCTTACATTTATTTTTTGTAAAAACTAATGATTTGTTATACTTGAGAAATTTCCGAAGCATAATGAGAAAATGTTAACGGCACATGACTGTAGTAGAGTCTAAAAAGTTCTAAAAAGTAATCCGATGTCTGGACAATTTTCAAAACAAAATGGGAACCAGGTAGTATTTTTGAATATGAAAAATGTATGTACTTGTACAAAATGTGGTATCAACCTTGTGAAGCCTGAAACTCTATCAACCAAACTGAAAATAGAAGTGCCATAATTTCGTATATTTCTAGTAGTCCAACCCGACCTGAATTCCTAAAGCAGCAGTCAGAGAATTTGGTTGAACATGACTACCTCTCTTTAAATCTGCCAATGTTACGGGGATATGGAGTCAAACCTGAAACTGATCATGCAGTTTTAAGACAGAACCAGATTAAAGAAACCTGTGTCATGTTTTGTCAATGCAGACATCCTTCTTACAAACATTCTCTGGCCCTGCTTGTATAAAACTACTTAAGTAATGAGATTTCCTTAAATCTGAGGATTTCCTCGATTTATTTGAGATTCCTCAAAATGGCTTGCAAAAACCTTCCTCAACTCAAAACCTCAGTTTTCTACTCAACTCTTGAGATTTTCCTCAAGTTCACTTTTATAAGTAAAATCTGTAGCTGTCTTCGACTTTTACAGAATAGCAGGTAAAATATTCTCATATGTACGCATTAACAACGGCAGTCACCTCGTCCCATTCTTTTTCTTTGTTTTTCACAGATACACCTGCCTAACCGTCACTCCCTAATACTCTTCCAAACATCACATCCTCTCTCTCATGCACGCTCTCCATTAACACAAGTTCCTCCCTCTCGCACTCTTGCAATTTGTTGCTGACATATTCATGATGTTAAATGCAGCAGACGACACTGTGAAACTTACCTTCACCCTGTCTCCTTCTTTGACAATTTACGGGGAAAAGTATAACATAGTTTACAAACCTCCTTCAAAAAAATAGTTCCCAATCGGGCAGCTTACACCATCGCGAAAAGGCCTCAACTTTTCCTCAGTTAAGGGTGTCCTCAAGTTACCTGAGGAATGTTTATACAAGCTTTATTTGAGGAAATCTCAGCTGAGGAAATCTCAAGTTGAGATATTTTTTATACAAGCGGGGCGTGGTGTTAAGTGTGTTTACCTGAGATGTGACTGTATTTCTATCTCACGACGAAGTTGATGCTCTACACCAGCTTTCTGTAACTGTGACTTGAACAGAACCTGCAAATATAACACACAAATCATAAAGCATTAACAAAATACTATAAATTCATATTGTACTAAAGGTCAATATTATTATTATTATTTCATTCTTAATAGCCAAACAACACATAAGAGGTCATTAAGTCCAATAAAAGTAGAAAAAAAACATGCAAAAGGAAATTACATCAAACGAACGAAAAAGTAAAAGACAAACGTCAACTTGAAAAATTGTTAAAGTGTCTATGATTAAGTTAATATATCTTTTTGAACAGATCAACAGGTTTAAGGTAGGTTACAATTGTAGAGATACTGACTGTTTCGATTAGTGATTTGAGATCTGTTATATTATAAAAAAAATCTCTTGTTGGATGAAGGTCAATACAATCTAATAACAAGTGTTTTACTGATTCATTGATGGTCAAACACATGCCAGGACGTAATTTGATTATGCAAATGCAGACATAAACATGTGTCTCAATGCATGTAGCATACAGCAATGGACGGCTTAAGAATACAGGAATGGAAGGATGACCTTACCTTAAGGGCAACAACATATTTGGTTGACTTCTCTCTGGCCAGATAAACATTTCCGAACTTTCCTTTACCAAGAGGCCTCCCTATATCAAAGTCTTCAAGTGTCCATTTTTTTCTGAAAATTTATAAATGGATTTCTAAATGTCAGTGTTCAAATTCAGACTAAACATTATATGTATGTACATGTACAACCTCACAAAATAAAATCTAAATTTCGCATGTAATAAATCAAAACTGCATTTTTACATCAGAAATCACAAAGCAGTATTTAATTCCCCTTGTCAGTCACCAAGTTTTGTCTGCCATCTTTAATTCACAGAACATTTCAACGTTACATTTATTTTACAGTGTGACATTCTGTCTTCCCAACAGTTATTCTAATGTTATGCCTATATCAGAGTGACCAGTGGTTTTTCAACATAAATTTTACATCAGCCTGTCCTTACATGAATTGGGATGTATTATTTTACTGGTTAAAACTGGGAAGATATTCCTCATGTGTTCATTATGGGAAAATAATGCAAGTTTTTGCTACATGGAGGAAGCATCTGATGATGTTGGCTTAAAAATGGGGGGAAAAATCACTTAGTTACGGACAAGCATTTTGAGTTAGTAATTGTATGATATAGGCTGTTTTAAAATCTAGTGTTAAGCGGTTAAATGTTTATAATCATTACAATCTTGTCAATTATAAAGAAATGATGTAGCTTATTTAAATAAATTTTGACTCGACATCAAACAATGTTTGGAAATCTCTTTGTTGAAGCCAGGAGTAAATGAAATTTTACATTGAAACCAAGTGTGGAAACAATCATTTTTCAAAATATATTTTAACCAGCAAAAGTTATGAATGCCAATGTGAATTTTAAACTCTGATGACGTATGCCACTGACTGATTCCTTGTCAGGATTTGCCTGTACAAATGTACCTGGCTGCTTCTGTAGAGGTTGGAGCTTTCTCTTTGGCCTGTACTTTGACTGTGCCTGGTTTGACTGCAGAAGTGAGATCTGGACCACTGGAACTGTTGACAGGTTTCAGCACACGCCCAGGCTCAGCAGCCATTCTTTTCTACCTGGAGCAAAATGTTCCTTGTAAAATATTGTCATTGACTTTTTTTGGGACATTTGCTTTCCTGTGAATTACAAGGGAGCTGGTTGGCATGGTCAATAATAGTGGTACAATCTTTTACACATTCAGCTTTAATGCAATAAAATCTCCATCCAGAAATGACTCCCCAAAATCTTTCAAGGCCTTTTTTTCATACTGTTGAGGGATATTTATACGACTGCATGATTTAATGTCTGACATTATCTTTCACTCACTTTGATGAAAATTAATAAACTGTACAAATAATTTGGAACTAACATTGAACAGACCTCACTTCCTTATTTCAGTATATGAAACTAGAAATCTTTTTCATGGTACAGAAATGCACCTGCTTTTAATACATAACTGTTTGTTTGTTCCACAAAAATATGAAAATGCTTATATTATGTTCCACAATATTCATTCATTCCATTAATTATTGGCAGCTGAAGCAAGGGAAAGTATGACTGATCTAGCTGCATTCCAAGTCATATGATGGCTGATTTTTGCACCATTCTGACTCTTTGTTAATTCAACTTTAGCAGGAGACAACTTTGTTGCAAAGGAACAATAATTAGCTTTCATTAATTTCTTCTCCTCTACAAACTTTATGACAAAGAAAAAATGAGACAAAAAAAATTAAGCCACTAATCAGCACCCCTAATCTTCCTTTACCTACTTTCATTTCTCCCTTTATTTTGTTGCTTTGTGTAGTGAGAAGTGATAGAAACAGAATTACTTTTTATGTTGCCTACACATTGGGCAAGGTGAAGGAATGATAATCATCCATCTGCTAACATGCCACTTTTTGCAGTTTTTCTCNCCCCCCTCCTTAGTACTAATATTACTACCCGGGTATCAAATCGATCCCATGCATTGTAATGAAGCAAGCATGTTGTGAATCACATTGAACTGGAGCGAATTTAGCATTTACTGACAGCACATGCACATGGGTCTGCATCTATACACTCATTTGCAATATAAACTATTTCTAGTGATCTCCTATGTAACTTGAAGTTAGACGCTGCCCAAAGTGTCGTTAAATTATGAAGTTTACGTAGCGTGGTCAAAATCTAAATGACCACCATAATGGAAACTTTGTCTCTCTTCGGATATAGGTCACTCATACCTCTTTAGATGGGTGTCATGATCATGACCCAATATGGAATTTGTAGTAAACATGGCAGCATCAGTTGTAATAGTATGCAGGCCATAACAGATAATTGAGATAACATCAAGCATGATGGTTGTTTCTTTTTTCTTTCCGAGATGGACTTGGCTCATTTTGTGAAAGAGTTATTTTATAAGTAAGGATTCGTTATTTCAACAAATATACATTTACAGATTTGACACTTTTGATTTTGCTCCATAAATTGGCATTGGACCAGTTTGTAGCTCCAATGACGCAATACATATAAAAATTGTCTTGTCATCAGAAGTTACGTTATCGCAGTCAATGTGTCATCAAATTACTAGAAAGGGAACCAGCAGTTATTATGAGACACCAGGATGAGGAAGAGTGATACAGATAGTGTCGTCGCTGGGGCTCGAACCTGCAACCCTTGCCTCTGCAGCACAATGCTCTACCGCTGAGCTAAAGGGAAGTTCCCAACAGCTGACGCTTGTAAGGTGACCTTAATTCAATGCACATCTTTTACAAATACTCAAGTCTATTAATCCCATTTAAAGAGAGTAAGTGCTACGATTAGTGACCAACATCGTAAACGTGACATTATTAGTAAGCCTGAACAATAATTAAAAAATAAAAACAATGATTAAAGACAAGCCAAAAACTATTGAACTTTTAGGCAACATACCTGCTTATGGAACAAACAGAATCTGAGAATGTATCAGAACATCTTTTACATGATCTGTTATACTAGATATTTTGATCAATGAACATGATCCACACACAAAATTGTTACACAAATTGAAATTTTGTTCACGTAGGCGTGCGGAAATGATTAAGGTCCTTCGACCTTAAAGCTAAAATATCTTTATCAAAGTAACGGGGGGGATGGGGG